TCGGTGGTAGTGTAATTTTCCTGGGCACTATCGAGAGTCTTAGAAGCATAAGAAATAGGCTGAAAATGTTTCTCTCGACGATGCCCAAGAACGGCTCCTACTGCAAAATCACTAGCATCACACATAATCTCAAAAGGCAAAGACTAGTCAGGAGCTACTACCACCGGTGCCTTGACCAGTTTCTCCTTCAAACACTCAAAAGCCTCTAAACACTCCTTTGAGTAGTCAAACGGTGCGTCCTTCTCAAGGAGCTTGGTCATGGGTCGGACTATCTTAGAAAAGTCCTGGATGAACCTACACTAGAAACCTGCGTGTCCTAGAAAACTCCTAATGGCACAGACTGAGGTAGGGGGAGGTAATTTAGAAATAACATCAACCTTAGCCGGATCAACCTCAATCCCCCTACTCGATATCTTATGCCCTAGGACCACTCCCTCATTAACCATGAAGTGGCACTTCTCCCAGTTAAGCACCAAATTCACCTCACGACACCTAACCAGGACTTTCTTCAAATTCTCTTAGCACTCATCAAAAGTGTCACCATACACAGAAAAGTCATCCATAAAAACTTCCATAAACTTCCCAATAAAATCCCCAAAAATAGCTAGCATGCATCTCATAAAGGTAGCAGGGGCATTACATAATCCAAACGCCATCCTTCGATATGCGAAGGTACCGAATGGACATGTGAACATGGTCTTATCCTGGTCCTCTGGGGCTATGGGGATCTGGAAGTATCCCGACATCCCGTCAAGGAAACAGTAGAACTTATGCCCTGCTAACCTTTTTAAAATCTGATCAATGAAGGGGAGGGGGAAGTGGTCCTTCCGGGTGGCGGCATTTAACTTTCAGTAATCAATGCAGACCCGCCATCCGGTGACCGTACGTGTCGTTATCAACTCATCTTTCTCATTCTTAACCACAATCATCCCCCTTTCTTGGGAACCACCTGGGTCGGGCTGACCCAAGGGCTGTCTGAAATCGGAAAAATAATACCTACATCTAACAGACGGATGGCTTCCTCCCTAACCACCTCCTGCATATTAGGATTCAGTCTTCTTTGTGGCTGCACTACCGGTTTAGCATTATCTTCCATCAAAATTTTATGAGTGAAGAAAGCAGGACTGATTCCTTTTATGTCAGAAAGTTTCCGGGCTAGAGCTTCCCTTTGTTCACTAAGTAGGTCAAGACATGCAGATTTTTGGGATGACTCAAGTCCGGATGCAAGGATGAGAAGGAGATCAGGACTATTATCAATAAAAGCATACTCAAGGTGGGAGGGAAGAGGCTTTAGATTAAATGGAGAAGGGGTAACAATGGAAGAATCAGTCTGACAGTCTTCCTTCCCCACTTTATCTAAATCATCTTCCTTCCCCTTCACATCACTAGCATCACTTAAGCCCTCCTCCCCACCTACCATAAGACAATCAAAACTAGGGAGGAGCTCAAGATCCTCTGCTGACAAACTATCATCCAAAAGAAGATCAAAGAAGGCTTCATCAGAAAGCATGTTAGGAATGCAGTCCTCCACCAAAGAATCCATCACATCCATGTAAAAACACTCTCCACTATCCTGATAGGACCTCTTCATTATTTTGGACATGTCAAAGGTGGCAGACTCATCCCCAACGCGAAGGACAAGCTTACCGTCTCCAACATCAATAAGTGCTCGGGCAGTTGCCAAAAATGGTCTGCTCAATATCAATGGTACCTCCCGATCTTGATCCATGTCCAAAATAACAAAGTCTACCGGAAAAATAAATTTGTCCACTTTAACCAACACGTCTTCAATAATCCCTTGAGGATATTTTACGGATCGATCAACCAACTGAATCACATACGTGTAGGTTTAAGTGGACCGAGTGCAAGATTTTCATATAAAGTAAGAGGCATCAAATTAATACTTGCACCCAAATCAGCCAGGGCCCTATCAAAAGTAAGATCTCCTATAAAGCAAGGAATAGTAAACGAACCTGGATCCTTAAGCTTCTTCGACAGATCTGTCCGTATCACAGCTGAGCACTCTTCATTAAGCGTCACAGTTGACGCTTCTTCCAGCCTCCTCTTGTTCGTCAATAGATCCTTCATGAACTTCGCGTACTTGGGCATTTGTGCTAGTGCATCCACGAATGGTAAGTTAATTTGCACCTGTTTCATGAGATGCAAAAACTTACCAAACTAGTCACTGTCATTCTTTCTAGTCAATCGCGCTGGATAGGGAAGAGGTGGGGTGTAATTCTTAACTGGAACGGGCTGTTTTGGTGAAGCCGCCACCTCTCTTCCCTCTTTATTCTCTTTTTCTTCCTCCCGGTCAGCCGGTACAAATTCAACTGCATCGAACTTCTTCTTTGTGGCAGCAGGTTCTAGCTCTTTTCCACTCCTCAAGGTGATTGCCTGAACATGTTCTCTTGGATTTGGCTCGGTATTACTAGGGAGGGATCCCTGCGGCCTGTCAGATAAAGCCTTCGCAAGCTGCCCCAATTGATTTTCAATATTTTGCATCTTTGAGTCCGCTCTCAGTTGAGTTTGCGCTAATTGTTTGAGTGTTTCTTCCAAGCTAGAAAATTTTTGCTCAGTTTCCCTCCTGAAATTTCCTTGCGCCGGCTGAGGTGCTTGCTGTTGGCGTTGAGGCGCTTGGGGCTGATTATAGCTCCTTGACTGCTGTTGCTGGTTTCCTTGCCCATAGTTCCCTTGTTGCTGCTGTCCATAGGGCTGATTGTAGTAACCCTGTCTCTGGAAGTACATTGCGTCAACTTGCTCCACTCCAGGGGCTGCCGAGTGCGCCATCATATTGCATTCATGTGGCCAATGGAGTCCCCCACACATAGTACAAGAAGGACTCATAGGACCGAGGGCTACCATGTTTACACTGGGCACTGAGTGAGCAAGTTCCATCTTCTTCTGATTATTTTCCACAGTGGTAGCTAGCTTCTGAATCATACTAGTCAAAGTATCTACCATTGCAGAAAGGGCAGAATTATCACTGATCTCATACAAACGCGGGGCCTTCTGGTGAGGTGTACTCTTATCGTTGTACCAGGATGCGTTATTTGATACAATTTTCTCCACCAGTTCTTCCCCCACCTCGGATGGTAAATCAGGAAAGGCTCCACCACCCGAAGCATCAAGCATCATCTTCCCTTCATTGCTGAGCCCGCTATAGAAGTAGAAAAGAACCTCACAATCAGTCAAATTGCCCTGAGGGCAAGCTCTCCTCAGCACCTTGAATCTCTTCCATGCTTCAGCCAATGTCTCCAGAGAACCCTGCTTGAACTCTTGTAATACCTTCTTCAACTTTAGGGCCTTTGACGTAGGGAAGTACTCCTTTATGAAGGAACTATGCAGCTGATCCCAAGTCTGGAGGTGGTGGTGACGATTACTGTCCAACCACCTCTGCGCATCGTCCCTCAATGAGAAAGGGAAAATCATCATTCTCACCTGATCATCAGTAAGCCCAAGTATTTTGAAAGTTTGGCACATCCTCACGGAATGGGTAATATGTGCCACTGGGTCTTCTGTAAGGCCTCCTCCAAATTGATTATTGGACACCATGCTTATCACCGCCGGCTTGATTTCCTAACGGTTGACAGTAATTCCCTGCACCTGAATGCTATCATACTCTGAAACGTTTGGTGTAAGGAACTCTGCAATGGTCTGGCGCTGATAGAGTGGATTATTGTGCGGTACATATGGATTGGGTGGCGGCATTTGATGTCTAGGTTGGGGGGTTGGTTGTGGCTGAGTAGGTGGGACTTGAGTTTGGTTTTGAAACTGATTGGGGTATGGATTTTGGTACTGAGTCTGATTTTGGAATGTAGGTTGATTGATTGGAAGTGGGTTTTGTCTTGGTTGGAAAACCGGAATACTCTGCCCTGCTCCTTGCATCCCATTAACTTGATTTTGAAAATTGGTTTCAGGAGCAGTAGGGGTATTTTGAAAAAGGTGAAATAATGGAGGGAGATTAAATTGTGGTGAAGGCTGATTTTGGGAAAAGATCGGAGTGCGGTAATTTTGAAAAACTGGAGAGTTTCTAGGTGAAATTGGTGGTGAAGATTGGGGTGATGTGTTATGATAGAAATCTGGATGAGAAGTAGGGTTAGGATTACTAGATGACCCTATGTTTCCAGATGAAGATTGATGGTCCATGGTAATTTTCTCTTTGTGAGCCTTGCGATTCTGTCTGGTGAGCTTTTCAATCTCTAGATTAAGAGGGATTAATGGTTCTCCTCTCTTGGAGCGTGTATGCATAAACAGATCTGACCTGCAAGGTTAGCAGACAAAAATTCCTACGAAAAACTAAAAAACGAATCGCTGAGTAAAATTAACCCTTAAGACCGACACCGTCCCCGGCAACGGCGCCAAAAACTGATGCGAGTTTTTCTCGCACTTAAAAAGATTGTAGAAAAGCGGTGAAAGTAAGAATATCATCTCCACAGGGACGGTAAAAGGGAATTAAGGACTAACTAAAATAAGAGATAAAGAATAAATAAAATAAATGCGGCCGTGCGAGATTTGATTGATTAAGAAAATTAAAATTGCAAATAAACGAATAAAAGTAAATATCTGGGTTCTTCTTAATTAACGATGAAGGGAACATGGATTGATTCCGAGGTAATCAGATTTCTGGCAGATCAGGCTTAATTACATGAATTTAATTTAATTGAGCCTAGCTAATCAATACTAAGTTCTTACCGCTCTCGCGGTGTAGAGTACAATAATTTAGGGGACCAGGCTGATCTCTCATGCGACAGGATCCTAAATTATTGCCAAAGCGAACGAACTTACGGCCCCTTAATCGCTACTAATCTCTTAGCGAACGATTAAGTGTGTGTGAATGTGTCCTAGAATAAATTAGATCTCTCTTAATTTATCCTACATGCGATTGTAATTCTAGTGGCCATCTAGATTACAAAAGATAACAATTAAATTACTCAAACACAAATTAAACGACATTCATGCAATTTACACCATCAAGAACCTAACCATACATCGTGATTAACCCCTTCATCAATCCCAAATCCCAATTAAAACTACTCTCGACTCATAATTGAAGAATCAATAGAATTGGGAAGAATAGAAATAATTGCCATTAATTAAAAAGTAGGAACTTACAAAGAATCTCAAAGAATAGAAAAAAACAGGGCTAAAAGCTCTCAAATTCGTCCTCCAGCTGCTAAATAAGTTCCATCCCCCTTAATTAGGGTTATGGGAGTGGTATTTATAGGAAACAAGGCAATTTGGGCTGAATTAGGACAAAACGGGGTCATGCACGGCGCCAGGCATGACCGTGCCTGGGACCGTGCCTGCGGAAGAAACCCGGTTAAACGCGTCCAGGCACGGCGTGCCTGACTGCCAGGCACGACCGTGCCTGGCCTCCTGTAGCTTGTTCCTCGTTTCACTTCAGGCACGGCGTGCCTGGCCTCCAGTAGCTTACCCGCTTCATTACAAGGCACGCACGGCGTGCCTAACGCCGGGCACGACCGTGCATGACCTTATTCTTCACTTTCTCTTCGTTTCCTTGTTCCAAACGCTCCCGGATGTATACGAGGTCAATCAATTACTCGTTCTTCATCAGAATTTCGTCGTGAATCTCCCGATGACCTCCAAATCTCTCAAATTTTCTTCGAATGCCTTCAAATCCTTCCTGAATGCCTCTCAAGCGCTGATTACCGATCTCTAACTTCTTCAATTCAACTCCAAATGCAAAGAAACTCGACCCAACGCCTGATAATCGCAACTTGAGCTAAAATTGAGACTTGCAACACCTTAAAGCTAGGAAAACCATCAAAATCCAACCCGAACACGCATCAAATGTGTGTCTAAATACAGACTTATCACACCAATTGCAAGTTGCGGTCCAATTCCCGGTGTTCGGGTCCTTCCACTTAGAAAAATTATTAGCCATTAGTTCAGATTTACTTTTTTCGTACCTGTTAGGGATGAGGCAGGCTCGTCGGCGTCATGGCTGCCGCCACCCTCCTCCTCCTCGTCGTCGTGGCTCTCCGGAATTACTTCCTCCACATCGTTGTCCTCGTCCTCGAGCTCTTCTTCGTCAATGGTCCTCGGTTGGTCTTGAAAAAAGAGGGAATTATGTCGGTGCAATTCTTGTTCTAGTCGTTCGTCGGTCATCGCATCCTCATCCCTCCTTGCGTAACTCGTATCAAAATCATCTCGACTTTGAGATGAAGAGCCGATATGTGATTTACTTTTGCGGGATCTCTTCCTCGCAAGGTCTTTCGTTCGGTTGCGCTCGGGGTTACCCATATCAACCGAATATCTAGGACGATCCATCTAAAAAATGTAACAAATATTAAATTGCAACAAATATATTAACTAGTGAATTAACTAGTTTTGTGTACAACCTATTTTTTTTACTAACAATGAAATTAATATACTTTAACTTTAAGTATAATGAGAATTAACTAGTTTTTTAAACTAGAGTCAAATGTAGCAATTAATAAAAAATTGTAATAAAGTAATTAACTATTAATCTACCTATTAATTCGAGTTATAGCAAATTAGTATTTTAAAGTTTACTTTAATCAAATTAACTAGTGAATTAACTAGATTTGTGTACAACCTATTTTTTTTACTAACAATGAAATTAATACACTTTAACTTTAACTATAATGAGAATTACAACTAGTTTTTTGTACAACCTATTTTGTTTTACTAACAATCAAATTATTATAGTTTAACTTTAACTATTATGAGTATTAACTAGTTTTTTTCAAGTAACGTTAATACAAAATTAAACAAGTGTAAATAATAGAATGATTTCGTACCTCTTTCGGAATTTCGGATGGGAGTAATAGAATGACTTCAAATTAATTAGATATAATTCCAACTATATTAATAGATATAATAAATGTATAAGTAATATATTATTAGATAACAAATATAAGTAATATAATATTATAATGTATGTATTTATAAATTATAAGTAGATAATTAATATAAAGTAGATATATAAATAATAAATAGTCCCTCTGTCCCCCTATTATTGTCCCATTTCCTATTCACTTGGTCAACACAAATCATTCTTAATCTCTTACTTTATGTATCATTTTTTTATCAAATTTGATTCTGGTTTTTGCGACTTGATAAATCTTTTAATGTAGTTTCTGAATATGTAATTTTTTTTTCCTAAAAATAATTTGAGTGCGGACATGGATCTTTTTGCTTTATCGTCGGTCAAGCATCGTAAACCGCAATGGGACAATAACAGCGGGACGGAGGGAGTATAATATATTGGAGAATAAGAGAATTAGAGAGTAGAGAGTTAAGAATAGGATTTAGGAAGAATTGGAGAAGAGATGTGAAAAAATGTTTAAAATTAGGAGTATTTATAGGTTTTTTTACCCCACCCCCACCCCCCATCCCCCACCCCAAACCCCCCGGACCCCCCTGCACCCCACCCAACGGCTATATAGCCGTTTGGGTTGCCCCAGCCCCCCCCAACGGCTATTTTGACCAAAACATTTTTTTTAAAAATGACCGTTGGACCCGGACCCGACCCGGCCGGGTCAACTATTTCCGGAAGCGAGCCCGCCCCGCCCATCCCCACCGGTTCGGCTCCACACCCGGTCCCGGACCTCCATACCGGGCTGGTCCCGGGCCCGCACAGTAGCGGGCCGGGCCGGGTGGCCCGAACCGAATCCACCCCTACTCGAAACTAGGGGTGGATTCGGTTCGGGCCAACCGGCCCGTGACCCGGTCCGGCCCACTATTGTGCGGGCCCGGGACCGGCCCGGTCTGGCGGTCCGGGACCGGGTGTGGACCCGAACCGGTGGGGATGGGTGGGGCGGGCTCGGTTCCGGAAATAGTTGACCCGGCCCGGCCGGGTCGGGCCCGGGTCGGGCCCGGGTCCAACGGTCATTTTTTAATTTTTTTTTTGTTTTGGCCAAAATAGCCGTTGGGGGGTGGGCTGGGGACAACCCAAACGGCTATATAGCCGTTGGGTGGGGTGCAGGGGGGGGGGGTCCGGGGGGTTTGGGAGGTGGGGGTGGGGTAAAAAAACCTATAAATACTCCTAATCTTAAACATTTTTTCATATCTCTTCTCCAATTCTTCCTAAATCCTATTCTTAACTCTCTACTCTCTAATTCTCTTATTCTCCAATATATTATATTTATTATTTATATATCTACTTTATATTAATTATCTACTTATAATTTATAAATACATACATTATAATATTATATTACTTATATTTGTTATCTAATTATATATTACTTATACATTTATTATATCTATTAATATAGTTGGAATATATCTAATTAATTTGAAGTCATTCTATTACTCCCATCCGAAAGACCGAAAGTCCGAAAGAGGTACGAAATCATTCTATTATTTACACTTGTTTAATTTTGTATTAACGTTACTTGAAAAAAAACTAGTTAATTCTCATAATAGTTAAAGTTAAACTATAATAATTTGATTGTTTGTAAAAAAATAGGTTGTACAAAAAACTAGTTGTAATTCTCAATATAGTTAAAGTTAAAGTGTATTAATTTCAGTGTTAGTAAAAAAAATAGGTTGTACACAAAACTAGTTAATTCACTAGTTAATTTGATTAAAGTAAACTTTAAAATACTAATTTGCTATAACTCGAATTAATAGTTAGATTAATAGTTAATTACTTTATTACAATTTTTTATTAATTGCTACATTTGACTCTAGTTTAAAAAACTAGTTAATTCTCATTATACTTCAAGTTAGAGTATATTAATTTCATTGTTAGTAAAAAAAAAAATAGGTTGTACACAAAACAAGTTAATTCACTAGTTAATTTGATTAAAGTAAACTTTAAAATACTAATTTGCTATAACTTGAATTAATAGTTAGATTAATAGTTAATTACTTTATTACAATTTTTTATTAATTGCTACATTTGACTCTAGTTTAAAAAAATAGTTAATTCTCATTATAGTTAAAGTTAAAGTATATGGAGTATATGGCCCGGGACACCCCGACCCACATACTCCTGCTTCTTCTACACAGGCCGATCAAGCCCGATGAACACACAAAGCCCAAATGTAGCGGCATAAGCATGAAGAAGCTCACGCTGCACACGTGGATGCCTTCGGCCCTACGGCCGAGGGCTCCAAATTCTGGGAGACATCTTAATATGGTCCGGCAAAGCTTCTGGAAAATCCTGGCTAAAATGTTAGCCTTCGGTCACCCGATGCCTTCGGCCACCCGATGCCTTCGGCCACACAATGTCTTCGGCCACCCGATGCCTTCGGCCACACAATGCCTTCGGCCACCCGATGCCTTCGCCCCCCGATGCCTTCAGCCACATGATGCCTTCGGCCACACGATACCTTCGGCAACAGAACTATTGAGGAAGATTCCTTTTAGAGATAGCCAACCACCGCATTTAATACGGCGTCACATCCACGCACCGCATTTAATGCGGTGCACATGCATATGTCGATGCCACCCGGATTGAGGTGACCCATCTGCCGTTAGATTGTTGACACGTGTACTCTCATCGCATTTATAGTTGCTATAAATACTAAATAGCAGCCCTTATTCACTTTGTAAAAAACAACGAGTTCATTTAATACATTTGACTCTCTCTCTTACTTACTTGCTCTGACTTCTCTCTAGGTTATTCACCGTAATAACCCCTCGGATAAGCTACCCCCGAGTACACTATCCATCATAATTCAATGTGTACTCTTAAGGTTCACAAATGGATATATAAAATTTGTCTGAAAGTTGTCTTGTATGCATTCGAGTTTTTAATATAAAACCGCTCTTTTATGATAATTTTTTTATATACACAGCCTTTAGAAAATACGTACATACTACTATACTAGGGACAAGGCATAAAAGAAAAGTAATATATTCCGAGTAAGTCCCCACCAATAAGCTTTTAATATCAATTTTCTTATTAAATATATTATATTACAATTATATTTATATACTTCTACACCTTCATATTTAACATATATATTTAATTATATACATTTGTAGTTAACTAGTTCCTACATTGTTGTAGTTAACTTGTTAATTACTTCCTACATTTTTGTTGATGACACAATTATACTATATAAATATTTAAAATTTTTATTTCTACATTCCTACTCCTACTCTTTCAATCTTTCTTATAATTTAATTATTGTGCCTCTTAGATATAAAGAGCATGTTCCTAATATCATGAAAGAAACTTGTAATTATATTATAGAACCGGTTGAGATCGACACAATGCAAAAGATTTGCAACATTTTAGTTTATTTTAACAACGCTACTCAAACTTTTTTCCATGTGTATAAACCAACTAGCAACCAATTTTTTTTATAGAAGCTATGAATCTCGTCGGTGCTTTTCAAGACTTTTCTCAAGTTGCTTATGTACATTATTTTTGTGATTTCATGGAAGAAAAGTTTTTAAAATATTATGCCTACATTCTGCCTAATTATTCTATTGCTTTCTGACTTGATCCTCGTTCCAGACTTTCAAATGATGAAACACTTTTAGAATACTAATATACTGCTTTCTACGGTCCATTCCCTATGTAGGAAGACACACCGATAGATCCTAAAGCCAAATTCAACGAGGTTAATAATCTATTCCACGCTTTATTTAATGAGTTTTATGAACAATATGGTAATATACTCCCTCCCCAAAACCGAGTGCTTTCTCATCTAAAGGAAAATGTTTTCTTAAATCAACAAAATCTACTATCTTGAAAAAAGTAAATCAACTCTTGTCGTTGCACAAAGCTCGCTTAACGAGCTGTCTTTATATCTAACATTTCCTGTTGAGTTTAATGAAGCGGATGACTTTGATATTCTCCAATGGTGGAAGACCCACGAAAGGATGTTTCCGGTTTTAGCAAAAATGGACAAACAAGTGTTGTCCATTCCGGTTTCAACTGTTGTCGTGGAACAAGAGTTTAGCCAAGCCGGTAATGTTTTGACTGACTATAGAACGAGGTTGAACGCTTCATCTCTCAAGACACTCATTTGCTTCCATGATTGGTTGAAAGCCACCCGTAGAACACAAGAACTCAACATAGCACCGGACCACCATTTCATGGAGGAAACGACAACCGACGCTGGAAGCGGCGGCTCCGACGATTAGATCATGTATTGTAATTTTTTACTTTAAAGTATTCTCAATTGTAATTTTTAAATGTAAAATTTATACAAGTGACAATGTAGTGTTTATAATAAATATACATCATTTTTTTAATTTTCCAATATTTTTTTGTAAAAAAGGACCGATTCGGAACTGGGTCTGTACCGGGACCGACCGGGTAGACCGGACCGGAACCGGGTCCGGGAATAACCGGTTCGATTCCAGTCTTCTACATCCAAAACCGATACCGGCCAGTTCCGGGACCGGGTCCGGACCGGTCGGGACCGGGTCCGAACCGGTGGTTTTCTTTTACTTCATTTTTCTTTCCTCAAAACTCGACACACCATCTCCTTGTCCTCTCGTTAACAAAATTTAAAATAGTGAATTCTCCAAATAAGAGTAAAACATAGGCAAAATGTAAAAATAAAAGTACCATGTTTTCAATACAGTAAATTTAGTGTTTGGACCACGGGCAGAGACAGGGGACAACCAACCTTGGCCCTGGCCCAGCCCAAATTTAAAATATGTCTTAATTTTTAGTGTAAAAAATATCGTACAAAATATTTTCCAAAAATTTTCTTTATATCGACCCAGTCTGGCCCAGTGTCCTGGCTCCGCCCCTGGTTTGGACAAATATACCCCTACCCAAGCCCCAAGCCCTACCACTTTCATTTAAAGTTTTTTTCTATTTTTTGTAAGTTTTATTTTAATATTTTTTAAAAATATTTTAGATTTTTAATATTTTAATAGGATCAAATAAGTGCTAATTTAGAATCAATTAGTTAGATTAAGGTATTAAGAATAGAGAATTAATGTTTACTCTTAAGGAAGTTTTATGTTTTACTCTTGTGCAATGATGTTTATGTTTACTCCTAATTGAACAATATCTAAATTTAAAACACAATTTTGGAGAAAGAATCTGTTTAATCCGCAGTGCAATATTAAATTAAAAACCCTGTAGAGAAATCTTATTCTTGCAGAGTTGCTAAGAGCTAGGAACAAACGTGCCAATATACCCAAATCCTGCTATAAAGAAGGCAATTGCTTGAAGTAAGATATACCAACAATACTGTCGCTTCCCAAAAACAAGATCGAAGGTTCCACAGAACAAAAGATATACACCAATTGCAAGCTCTAAAATATACATCCTGTAAGAGAGACATGAAGATGAAGAAAGATTCAGTCAATTGCTGCTACGTTGACTTGTTTTATGGAATAAACTGATAACAGATAATGGGAGAAACAACGCGCCACGCTATTACTCCGCAAATCAATCACTATTACCGCAGATTATACGGTGCAACCGGCGCCCGGTTGCAAAACGACGCAGCAAGACTCTTTTTTTTTTTTTTTTGCTTTTGTTGTTAAAAACTTTTATCAACATTTTTATCAACCGGCGCCCGGTTGATAATAACTTTTTTATTTTTGATCCGATTTTTATAAAATTTATATCAACATTTTTTATTTTTCATGATCTTTCAAATGAGACCAATATTGCTTATGTAATTTTAATAAATTATCGAACTATTATATTATTGAGTATTGGATTATAAGGAAAATCGAATCTGTTTGGAAGATGATAGGTTTGTGAAATAGAAGATTGAATCTGTTTGGGAGTGGATCAGTGGCCTCAGTTACATTTGATAATACATTGAGTTACATCTTTTTATGAGCGAGTTACATCTTTTTATAAGCAAGTTACATCTTTTTATAAGCAAGTTACATCTTTTTATAAGCAAGTTACATCTTTTTAAAAGCGGGTTACATATATATAAACACGAGTTGCATTTGACATGCTTGAACGCGACTTACATATATTTACACGTAAAGTTACATATTTTTACACGTAAAGTTACATATTTATACACGCGAGTTACATATTTATACACACGAGTTGCATTTGACCTGTCTGAATGCGAGTTACATATTTTTTTACGTAAAGTTACATATTGTTACACGTAGAGATACATATTTATACACATGAGTTGCATTTGGCCTGACTGAACGTGAGTTACATATTTTAACACGTAAAGTTACATATTTTACACGCAAATGGTAATATGTTAAAATTACATAGGCAATATTGGTCTCATTTGAAAGATCATGAAAAATAAAAAATGTTGATATAAATTTTATAAAAATCGGATCAAAAATAAAAAAGTTATTACCATTTTTTAAAAACAAAAGGAAAAAAAAAAAAAAAACCGTACCGGTATACGGTGCTCACCGTATACCGGTTGCACGGTATAAGCACTCCACTATTACTATATACGTAGTATACAAAAGGAAGAGTGAAAATGTCACTTTTTCTGCCGAAAAAAACGGGTTAAATCTATCAAATTCCGATTCTGCGTGAATTTGAAAATATTTCTCGCCACAGCAGATATTCATTGCAACGGCAGACTAATAGTCACAACCTCACTTACAGCAACCATAACCACAAGTTCACAGTATCAATAATCCCAGAAGCCGCCACACCCCGATCCGACAGGATTTTTAGGAGGATGTAAGTCATAGTGACTCAATCGGTCCAATGATGATGGACCTTATACTCATGCGCACCAGAGGTCCAGCTCAGCACGCAAGAACTATTACCTCCACACGGTCGCCGCGGGTTTCAAACCTTGATCATTGTTCCAAATTTCCTACCAGTGAACCAACTGAGCTACCCGTGCGGGTAAGATCTGTATATCCTAATGCCATATTCATTATAGTTAGATTTTCCGATATTTAATAAAGGCTAAAGGGTCAAGTAAGCCCTTGAACTAACTTAAAAAGTGCAAATCACCCCTTATATAGGAGGCTCTGTCCGGTCGTCACCATTTGGGGCGGTTCCCGGTGGAATTTTTTGATGAAATTTTTTGAGCATCTTCTTCATTAATTCAAGTTTACCCATACCAAATTTCAGATAAACGTTCAATCGGGAAGGCAATCAAATGAATTTTTGAAGATAACTGCGCGGTTAAACAGCGCAGTACATTTCAGAAAATCATTTGACTGTCTTCCCGGTTGAACTTTTATTTGAAATTTGGTATGGGTAAACTAGACTTAATGAAGAAACTGCTCCAAACATTTCATCAAAAAAATCCACTGAGAACCTCCCCAAATGGCGACGGCCGGACAGAGCCTCCTATATAAGGGGCGGTTTACACTTTTTAAGTTAGTTTGAGGACCTATTTGACCCTTTAACGTATTGTTTTGTTGATGACAAACAACTAGTGTTAATGTTGGTTTACTAGGAAAAGAGTTTAAGTCGTGCTCTAGAACAAGCAGTGGAACTGGTCCTGAAATTGCCTTAGAACTGCATGCGAATCTAAGATTGACTAATTTGGCTTCTTAAAAAATATCTTTTCTCTCCACTCAAATTCGGTTTTATCTTGCTAAATTAAAGAGGATTTTTTAGTAAGGAAATACTTAATGATCATACAAAGAAAGGATTTTTCTTTAAAGGAGAGATATTTAATTAAAGGCATTATTACTTAAGAGATCTTTCCACAAAGCAAGTTTTCAAAATCATTTTTGTGCATCTCCTCTCACAATGAGTGTTTCCTTAAGAAAAATATTTTCCATCAAATAAATGAAAAGAATATCCTTTAATACTTATAAGAAAACATTTTTAAATATTTTTCATGCAAGAGGACCGAAAATAAATATGGAGATCCGAGCACACTAAGAGCACATCAGGTCCTGATCTAGCACATTTAAGAGAACCGAGCTCAAAATGAAAGAATTCATCCTCAATCCGGTGCTATAGTCATGGATGAACTTACAAAGTCAATTCAAGAAGATGTATTGTGGTGCATGATGTTTGCCGACGATATTGTATTGATTGATGAGACGCAATCCGGTGTTAAAGCGAAGTTTGAAGTATGGCGACAAACATTGGATACCAAGGGTTTCAAACTGAGCCAAAGCAAGACTGAGTATAAGAAGTGCAAGTTTGGTGGAGGTACAAGTAGTAGCGATAGTGAGATTACTCTTGATGATAAGGAGATATCGGTGTGTGATATGTTTCGTTATTTGGGCTCCATAATTCAGAAGGATGATGAATTAGATGAAGATGTATGTCATAGAATCAAAGTTGGGTGGATGAAATGGAAGAGTGCATCATGATTTCTATGCAATCAAGGTATGCCGACTAGACTGAAAGGTAAATTTTATCGACATAATTAGACCTGCATTAATGTATGGCGTAGAGTGTTGGGCGGTGAAGCAATGCCACATTCAAAAGATAAGTGTGGCAGAGATGCGTATGTTGCATTGGATGTGTGGACATAGCAGAAAAGACCGCTTGAGGAATGAGATAATCACACAAAAGGTGGGAGTAGTACCTATAGAAGATAAGATGCAGGAGCCTCGTTTGCGGTGGTTTGGGCATGTGCGTAGAAGACCAAATGACGCACCTGTTAGACAACTTGAGGGGTGGGGAGAAGAGACAGAGAAGAGAGGGACGGGAAGATCCAAACAGACTTGAATTAGAGGAATCAAAACTGATATGCATCTTCTTGGGTTGGATGAGAGTATAACTGATGGTCCCTTATCAGGTAAAAGTCTAGAGGAGGGGGGTGAATAGACTTTTAAATCTTTTTGAATTATCAACTCTTTCTCCTCTAACAGAGTGAATTCCAATATCTTTTGGGAGATATTGTTACATTCAGCGCAAGTCTTGACCTCATACGTGTGAAACTTTATAGTATCAAAGGTTATGATCCTTTAGTCGAATTAGAGATGATCAAACAGAGTTCAAATGTGTTTCAAAATCAGCTATCTCAGAGAGCAGGCTGCTGAATTTTAAGGAGCAGACTGCTGAATGAGATTACTGCTTCAGACAGTAAAAACTATGATCTGAAACATTGTTAGATTTGCAGAATAAACTAAACACATAGGTATGAACGATTCTGACCTACTTAAACATAGATCACTTTTTGAAATAGGAACAAGGAACAAAAAGATCAAGATGTAGTAAACTGGATAGTTTACTGATTAGTATTTGAGGAAGCTGTTTAGGTTGTCTGAAAGGACGTGAAAGTGAGTGAGAACTGTTGTGTGTTGTGGTAACAGAATATAAAAGGTGACACAAGATATATCCTGGTTCAGAGGTGGTGTAATCCTCCTACTTCCAGTCCCACCCTCTTTCAGATGGATTTTCACTAAATGAATATACCCATTACATTTAGTGCCCAATCTATTCTTGGCCGTAGACATAGATTGTGAGGTTTTTCACAAGGAATTTGAACACCATTCCAAACTACTCAGTCCTCCAAGATTTTTCACTAATGACATTGACAAACCAAAAGTTACTCATGTCTTTGTCCTTCACTAACCTTCTGGATTGGATCACAAAGCCCTCCAGAGTTTACAAACTAGTATAGTTTACAAGAGTAAAGCTAAACTACCAAGTAACTAAGCTCTAAAGATGTATATGTATCTGAACTATTCTAAGAGCTTAGGAGAGTAGCGTGAGAACTACGATGGTGAAGGAAGAGTAGCACTTTCTTTTGCTAGATTTGTCATTTGATCTCATCTTCCTTCTTAGCTCCACACCTTATTCTCATGCACTCCTATATTTAAAGACTTGAGTTGTTGAAGTTCTTTCGTTGGCTGAAGAGATTCAATCTCGATCGTTGGTTGATCCACTTTATTCATTCTACTTGACTGAAAGGCAACATGGTTGGTTTTTGTCTTCTTGTGACACAGATTGTATCTTTGTTTCAACTTGTTGTTCCTCATTTCAAGGCATATGGCAAAGATAAGATATTTAATATTTGGCCGTAGCATAAATAGAGCAAGCTGATTTTTGGTTTCGTTGAATGCTTCCTTAGAATATAAATCTCTAGCTTTTAGTAAAAATAATGTTATAAGAACTTTTTATGAAGTGGTAAAAATTTCTCATAAAATTACTTTTTATCCTTTCTTTTATTTGATTGCAAGTTGGTCTTTTGATTTCTTGTCTTTGTTGTGATGTAGAGATGATTAGAAGATTTCGATGGAGCCTCTTCTGAAAAACTAAGTCATTAGCCATGTATGAGTTTTCAATAGGCTACTGATTGTGGTTTTTAAGGAGGCTGCCGAACTAAGAAAGGTTTCAGTTGACTCTTTTTCATACCTTTTTGCTTTTTGATTCTTTTCTTTGTTTTAGTATGTTTCTTCTCTTTTAATTACTCTGTTTTTGTTTTTCTTGAGTACTTTCTTTTCAAAGTAGCACATTACAGCACATAAACAAGAGTAAAGAAAAAGGATATCAAGTGATCTTATAGTCTAATACAGGATAGAGAAAGGGGGTGGCACCATCAAAACCGTAATCCCGTAATCATCAAAATCTAGGGGACCTAACAATGACTTTGGAGAGAGCGAAGTGGAGGATGCACATCTGTGTGGACAATTGATGTCTTTTTTACTTTTCCTCTCTCTTTTCTTTTATAGTTTATTTTCTTTATCTTTTTTATTTTTATGTTATTTTGATCTTCTAGCTTTTTTATACTCTTTTATCTTTCTCTCTTTGCTAAATGGTCAAATAGGTCCTCGAACTAACTTAAAAAGTGCAAGTCACCCTTTATATAGAAGGCTCTGTACGACCGTCTCCATTTGGAACGGTTCCCGGTGGAATTTTTTGATGAAATTGTTTGAGCACGTTCTTCATTACGTCTAGTTTACTCATACCAATCTTCAGCTAAAAATTCAATCGGGAAGATAGTCAAATGAATTTTTGAAGATAACTGCGCAGTTAAACAGCGCAGTACATTTCAGAAAATCATTTGACTGTCTTCCCGGTTGAATTTTTATCTGAAATTTGGTATGGGTAAACTAGACTTAATGAAAAAGATGCTCAAAAAATTTCACTGGTAACCGCCCAAATGGCATTGTCCGGATAGAGCCTCCTATATAAGGGGTGATTTGCACTTTTTAAGTTAGTTCGAGAGCCTATTTGACCCTTTAGCCTTCTATCTTCTATCTTTCTTATATTCTTATGTTATTGTTATCTTATATTTATTTATATTTATTTTATCTTACATTTTTCCCTCTCCTTGTCCGTCTCTCTGTTTTGCATTGATATCATAGATCGATTCATGTTAGCCGACCCCAAATTCCTTTGAGATTAAGGCTTGGATGTTGTTGTTGTAATTTAAAATGTCAAAAGAATCGTATATTCTTCGAATAAATGTATTATCTTTATAGTTATCCAATTATAGTATTAACCTGTGTTTTATATTGCATTGTATAATATACTCGTATAACACTTAAACAATTTTATTACTTAACCTGTGTTTCATAATATACTTGTATAACACTTAAACAATTTTATTACTCCAGTATTACTTAATTGTTTACTTGACATTGTCAATTAAACAATAGTAAAACATAAAATATACATTTTTCCATATTGAGCGATACACTTAATAAAGGGAGACCTACCAAATAAGCCCTCGAACTTTCATAAAAAGTGCAAATAAGCCCTTTTATAGGAGGCTCTGTCCGGACGTCGCCATTTGGGGCAGCTTCTGGTGGAATTTTTTGATGAAATTTTTTGAGCATATTCTTCATTAAGTCTAGTTTACTCATAACAAATTTCAGCTAAAATCTCAATCAGGAAAGCAGTCAAATGAATTTTTGAAGATAACTGCGCAGTTAGGTAGCACATTATATTTCAGAAAATCATTTGACTGCCTTCTCGATTGCACTTTTATCTGAAATTTGGTATGGGTAAATTAGACTTAATGAAGAAGATTCTAAAAAAAATTCATCAAAAACATCCACCAGAAACCGCCTCAAATGGTGACAGCCAAACAAAGCCTCCTGTAAAAGGGCTTGCACTTTTTATGAAAGTTCGAGGGCTTATTTGATAGTTCTCCCCTTAATAAAAAATAATATGTTTATATATTTATTTAGTAAGCACGATTGCTTTATTTATATGTTAATTGAAGTTAAAGGTATTGTATATGTGATTTAGTTGTAATAATATTATTTAATAATTTCAGTATATTTTATGTATTAGTTTTTTACCTACTAATTATATTTGTAACACCATGATTGCATATTTTATTTTAATGAATTTATATGTGCTTTTTTAGATTTTGAACTTTATCAAGGAGAAATCCAAAAATATTATTTGTTGGAGATTCAAAAACTCCAACAGTCAAGGGGTAGATCATTACGTGACTTTGCTGCCATAACATTGCTACCTGATGAAGACATGCCCACGCTTGAAGAGGTGCTCATTCATGAATAGTTGCAATGTAACAAATCAAATTTGATGGAGCGTATTCTGAGCCCATACACTATATGAAAGTTCAACCCCCGGTCAAAGCCTTCCTCTAGCCAATATATCTCAAATGCCGAAGGCTCCGAACTCTTCTCCCACCTGACCGCTCAAACAAGTCAAACAACTGTTGTCATAAGTGACCGGTGAACCTATTAGTGTGTTGTAAAGTTGTTGCGCGAAATGACAGATTAACAGTGAGTTTCTTCTTTTTATAAAGCTATGGAGGAACTGGGAAAACAGATTTGTGGAAGACTTTGTCTGTAGGAGTGAGATCTCATGGTGATATAATGCCTAACGTGGCTTCCAGTGGTATAATATTGCTTCCCTTGCCAATGACACACTGACACTGTTTCGAGGCTCTCAATCGAAGTATGAGAGATGTACTTAGATACTCCAACATTGTTATGCAAGCTTGCCTTTTGGTGTGGAAAGGCTAATGTATTTGGTGGTAACTATAAACGGATACTTCCTGTGATTACAAAAGCATGAGAGAAGATATTGTGCAAGCAACACTTAACTACTCATTTCTATGGTCATATTGTACTGTAGTGAGACTATCTTAAAACACGAGGCTAACAAGGATGGCAGGTGAGCTAGATGGACAACCTATCCAATCTTTTGTGGACTGAATTTTATAATCAAGATGAAGAATTACTCATTGATATACCGAAGTATATGATTGCTCCAATGACGTCCGATCACGTTGAATCTATTGCTCAATCTATTTATCCTGACGTCTTAACTTAGAATGACGTCATTCCTAATCTTTATTCCAGGGCTATTCTTGCACTGACTATAGATGAGGTTGATAAGATTAACGATTGCATGTTGAGTCAGATAGATTCGGGGTTAAAAACTTATCTAAGCTCAAATTCAGCTTCTTCACCTAGCTCAGATAGTGACCTCTTACATGAGATACATTCTTCTGAATTTCAAAATAGCATTATATGTTCAGGTTTGCCGAGTCATGAGCTAAAGCTAAAAATGGGGGTTCATGTCACGCTTATGAGGAATACAAATCATTCATATGGATTCTGCAATGACACACGACTTTTGGTGACTACTGACTAAACTTGAATACAATATTATCGAGACTCAGATGATGCACGGAGAAAATGCTAGTGAAAAGTTTCTTATTACTCGATTTAATTTAACACCATCAGATGTTAGACTCCATTCATTTTCAACGCAGACAGTATCTATTAATGGTTAGCTATGCAATGACCATTAATAAGAGTCAGGGACAATCATTGAAAAAGGTTGGCATCTTCCTCCGTTGGCCTGTTTTTACGCATGGACAATTGTATGTAACGAAGACGGTCAGCCAACAAAATCTGCTTTGAACGTTGTTTACAAAGAAGTTTATAATAATTTGTAGTTTTTTTTACAATTCTGTGGACAAACATGCACACCTATTTATCATATCTTGATTAATATTTAACTTTGACATTATTTTTTAATTTCATATTAGATCAAGACTTCTTATTTTAACTTATGTTTTAAAATAATTGATTCACTATCAACTTTTTTCTTACTTCTTATATAATTCATCTAAATTCCTATGTAATTACTTCAATCTCGTGGAAGGTAGTCAAAGTTGAAAGACGCACTTGAAGCGCTAGGGGCCCTCCGGCGCAAGGCGCAAAAAAACGCTCTCCTGACTCGGGTCAGCACACTATTTAGAAAATATTATGTATACTACTCTAAAGTGATCAAATATGACATATTCAACATCATATTGAACTAAATGCATCAAAAACTTATGTTTCTAAAAAAATAAAGTAAAGATTCACCAAAATAAAGTCATTGCTCACCCAAAAACAAGTGGGGTGTGTCATTGTTGATTTTATACAGTTAAATTATGAAATGTAATAGGAAGATATATAGTTATAGACTGTATATGAGATAAAATAATATATACATATAATGTAAACCGGTAGTCAGGTACATATAATAATTTTAAGTTGTCTAGAATATATTAGAAGCAAAAAGAACTACTACGCATGAAGTATGTATAGATGACTCGAACTGATAAAAGTAAAGAAAGAAGATAGACTGAAAGAATAAAATGAAGGGATCGCCAAGAAGATGACATAATAAATGAAAACTACAAGCTAAAAAGGAAAGAAGAAAGAACATGAGAAGATGATGATGAAGAAGACACCTTATGGGTTTCTGGCTTCTATGGGTTCGTTGAATGTGTTTCAGTGCTGAGCATGTTGTGCAAGTAAAGCATATAGCAGCGTAGGAGAACGATGAAGTCAAGACTCAAGATAGAAGACTTTTCCCACGACTAAGAAGGGTTTAATGTGGATTTAAGTTGTTTTTACCTATTACTTGGACGGGTTAAATCTTATTATCAGTATGGGCTTATTATTTAAAGTAGGATCAAACAAAAAAAGGCTGATAAGCCTTTGCCAGCCCAGGCGACTTAAGCGTGCGCTTTTCTCAGGTTCTGCGCCTAAATTGTGCTTGCTTTGGACTACCTTGATCCCACGCAACACATGGGTTGAGTAACTAGTACTACGTAATAGAGTAATACCAACGATGATTCAAATTGAAACAAATCGGTCGAAATAAGCAAATTGAAACAGACCAAAATTGACTTAACAGTATGGCCCGAGTCTGGATTTTACCCTTTGAAAACATTCCACCGAAAACCACCCCAAATGGCGAGACTCGTACAAAGCCTCCTGTAAAAGGGCTTATTTGCACTTTTTATGAAAGTTCGAGGGCTTATTTGATAGTTCTCCCTTTAAACATTTGTAGAGTGCGATGGACAAATAATTCCTACACAACTTTTTCCCTAATGTGCTACTCCCTACTTCTCAAATTATGGTTGTTTTTACTTGGACTGTAATTTGTCCCAGACCAGACCAGACCAAAATAGACCAGACCAGACCAGACTAAAACAGACCAGACCAGACCATATTTTATTATTATTATTATTATTATTAATTATTATTATTATTATTATTATTATTACTCTCTCCGGTCCTTAATGAAGTTTACACTTTGACTTCACACATATTAAGAAAATAATTTTGACTTTACTGTAGATTACACTGTTGACACTGTTTGACACTTTTACACCATTTGGTGTAGATTTGTTTGCCAAATAAGGCAAATAAGGAAGTGTAAAGTTTAATATGGGACGGCCCAAAAAGTAAAGTGTAAAGTTAATTAAGAACCAGAGGGAGTATTATTATTATTATGATTATTATTATTATGGTTATTATTATTATTAGTATTATTTCTATTATTACTATTATTATTATTAGTATTATTAGTATTATTATTGTTATTATTATTATTAGTATTATTAGTGTTATTATTGTTATTATTATTATTAGTATTATTATTATTATTATTATTATTATTGTTATTATTATTATTATTATTATTATTATTATTATTATTATTAGTAGTAGTAGTAGTAGTAGTTGTAGTAGTGGTGGTGTTATTGTTGTTATTATTAGTACACTTACTATTTTATTATTGTTTGGTTTAGTCTGTTCGTATTTTAAGTCATACAAGTGACAGAATAATATAGATGATCATGATTTGTAAAAAACAAAGAAATAAAAATAAATTAATAAAATCTTGATTTGTAAAAAAAATTGTATAAATAATGGGTAAACTATAAATCTTTTTAGAACCAAAAAGAGTACTATAAAATAATAAATATCATCATGGATCTGTTGCTCTGGGTTTCTGAACGTCTTCCCAAATTTGTTTCACAATTTCCACGCGAACATTGTTCATAGCTTCTTTTCGCCCATTGTTGAACATATCTGAATAAACCATGCCTTCTACATTCCCTTCATGTTCATAAATTGGCATTTCCATTTTGCACATGTTGATAAAATTATGAAGTGTAAAAGTAGAGAAAATAATTGCTTGTTGATGCTCTTCTTTCATTTTGGGCATATTGTGAAGTATCTTCCACCTTTTCTTCAGATGCGAAAATGCTCTTTCAATGGTAGTTCTCAGTGATGAGTGGCGATAATTAAAATGTTCCATTACTCCTCTTGGTTTACCACCGTCACGAAATTCTGGAACGTGTTTCCTCATTCCCGCATCATCAAATGGAGCTAAATATCCAAGTGTGTTTGGATAGCCTGAATTTACTAAATAATATTTACCTACATTTTAAATTGACTTTGTTAAAAGGATACTATTTTATATTTACAAAAACCTTTAATAATAAATTTATTTGTAAAATATTATTTATATTATATTACTAACTAAATTGTATATAACTTAGAATTGAAACCCACAATTAATAATTAATGGTAAATTAATTAGAAAATAATTATTTTCATAAATTTATATATTGACTGATAAAGAATAAGAAAAGGTAATGAACTTGTAACAAATAACTAATTAATATTGACAATATTAATTTGTGTAAAAGGAAATAATATTAAATAATAACACTTTTTCTAAAAATCATAATTTTAAATAATAAATAATGAACTAACGACTTCTTTCAAAAATAAACAATGACTCAGCAACTCAGTACGGCAGTACGCTTCATAAGAGCACACATGTATATGACTGTATATTGATATATATAATTATATATAACTATAAAATTTAATTAAAAATACTAAAAAACTTAAGCAACTAAGACAGACGATGAGACGAGAAGAGAGCAGAACCACCTGCGAAGTCGTCTGCTTCAGCGAGGAACAGGGCAGGAAGGGCGAAACTTCTTCCAGGAGTTGCTGCGGTTCGTCTGCGGCAAGTCTTCTACGACGATGGGCAATGAATACTTTGAATACTTTGTATTTCGTAAGCTTATAAAGGAGTAGATTAGTTGGGGCTTTGGAGTTTGGGCTTTATTGTTAATCAATAATTAAATTAGTTTCCTAAAATTAAAGCCTAATTCTACGAAGTATTTATGGATTATAATATATATATATATATATATAAAATGAAATCTTTATGCAAAAAATATAAAAAATAAAATTTCGGATCAGACCAGATCAGACCAGACCAAAACAGATCAGACCAGACCAGACCAAATCAGCAAATTACGATCCAAGTAAAAACATCTTATAACGAACTCAAGTTTTCGTTCGATTGTTTCACTCGTGTTCTTTAAAAACAAGGAAATAAGACTAAAACATAATACAATTACACAAATAGAAGCACTATTTTTTTCCCGGAGCATGACTCACAGGCTCATAAAACTAGAAACTTTGGCCACTTATTTTTTATTTTGAGGAATTATAATGAATTTTATTTTAAAGAAAGTACGAATACTCCATCTTACTCCTACAAGGGCCAAATTTTATTGGGCTTTTTCTTGAATATTAGTAATTTAGAGTCAATTTCCCAAAAAGTGACCACTTTTATAAAAAGGCCAAAAATGTGACCAAGAACGTCATATATATTTGGAAAAGACAGTATCTGCCAGATTTTTATGTCACTATTAAATTTTATGTCAGTGAGCCTATGTCACTTTTGAATGTCACTGCCGATTTTCATGTCACTTTTAAATTTCATTGCCAGTTTTCATGTCAATTTTGTATGTCACTTCCGCCGTCAAACGTGTCACTGTGCCGCTAATCATGTCACTATGCCGCCGCCGACCACCATCTCCGACCACTGCTAGGGACCACCACCTCCGGCCACTGCTGGCGACCACCACCATCCCCAGCCCCAGCCATATTCCCTGACCCGATCCAACAACTTCCCTAGCCCCCTCCCAGGGGCAAAGGGCCAATGGGCGATGGGCGATGGGCGATGGGCGATGGGCGAGGATTGTTAGGAAGGCGCCAATGCTCCACTATCTACAAGGGCCCTCCCAGCCCTGCCAAGCCCCATCTCCCACCCAAAACCACCGCACCCCACCCCACACCCTGCCCCTGCTCCTCGATAAAGTGGAGCATCGGCGCCTTCCTAACAATCCTCGCCCATCGTCGCGCTAGCCGCAGCCGCCCAGATCTAGCCGCATAGCCGCTCCAAGTAGATCTAGAATTGCACCGTCCATCGATTCCGGCAGCGCTCGAACAGAAATAGAAGGAGAAGAAACATGCTACAGAAGAAGGCAACTTCGAATAATAAAAGCGGACCTCAAGCGATAGGGTCAATGTTGGCTACAATGGAGATGTCGTGTGATTGTGCGGCTATGTGAATCAAGAAGAAAACCATGTCGTGCGACCTGGAAGTGAGGCAGAACGGTGGTTTGGACGGTGAGGCGGAGCGACGACGAGGCAGTAATGTGGAGATAATCCTCGAAGCAGAGAGATCGACCTCCATGGTTGTCTCCTCTCCTAATTCTAGATCCAAGCTATTGATGGGATCTGGAATAGCTTGGTAAATTAAAGACTTTTCTGCCTCAAATGGGACTAAATTATTCCTGAAATTCCTAAATAGAACTATCTATATTTTTATTCCCCAAATAGGACTAGATTACCTATTTACCCCTATTTTCTTCCTCTTTAATTCCCCTACGCAGACCTTCTTCCTCCCCTCCCTTGCGCACAATCCCCTCATCTTCTTTTCTTCCCCTTCGTCATGAACAACAATCCTAGAAGCTCAGTAGTGAAGTCCACCTTTACCCTCACCTGCTCATCTTCTCCTTCTTCATCGCAGTCGCCATCGCGAATCAGCCGCCGCCATCACGAAGTCCGCCGCCGCTGCCATCGCGAAATCCACCGTCGCCACTGTCGGAGATGGTATTCTTCTTCCCCATGCTCCGTTTCTTCTTTGATTGTTACAAAATGTCAAGTTAAACTCTAAAAATGCCATCAAAATGGCATTCTTTGTCTTCAAAAAATTTGTATTTTCCTTTGCAAATGCCATTAATATGGTATTCTGATAAAAATCCTGGCATTCACACCGTCAACGGCCAGATCTGGAACTGAGGAGGTCAGATTTGCAGCAGTAGATGCCGGATATGGTGCGATGGTGGCTAGATCTGCAGGGGCAGCCTCCAACGACCAACAAGGGCTAGAGTTGTCCAGATCTCCGGTGACGCTACCCAGATCTGCATTGGCGGTGTCCAGATCTACAACGGCGACTTGTTTTTGAGGCGATGAAGATGTGTGGGAACCAGCGGCGTCCGACGACGACCGGCAGCGAGTAGCGGCGACCGGCGAAAGGCAGTGGTCCTGTGTTCTGGTCGCAGCAGTATCACTTCCGAGCATCAAGGGCGTTTTTGTCCAATTACAGATTATTACTCCTATTTAGGAAATTTTTAAACTTTAGTCCTATTTTGACAATTAAAAATTGATTTACTCCTATTTAGGTAAATACCTCTAAATTAAATCATATTTTTGGAAGTTAAAAAAGGTCATACTTTGATCATTGAAAAGCCAAGCAGTTATATCCATGTCATTCTTTCATTTTTACTTATTGTAAAGATAGTTTAAATAGCACAATTTGTAAATGCAAGTCAATCAGGACACTGGTCGAAAAAACACTATTAGACCACATATCAATCAGTATCACTAGTAATTAAATATTAATATGTTGGTAATATTTATTATTTCAAGCTAAGAGGCACATATATATACATGCCATGGTGTCACAAGTAAGCTGTAGGAGACAGTCGATCACAAGATACTCCGTATAAAAGTAGGGCCTATCCGGCCGTTAGGCCATATGGAAGGTAAAGAAGGATTATATTACACTAGCTCCAGCATTGTGTTGAAACTAGTAGCTTTTTTAGACACCACAACTAAGGAGCCTAGTAGTAGCCTAGCTAGCTCATTATTCCACCCATATACTAGTATGTAAAAAGGGAGAAGAGATGAATCTAACCTTTCCAAAATCTTGAAATAAGGTTTCCTAGAACCTTCAATAGCTGATTTCAACTTTGGAGCATCCCCTAACTTTTCTGTAACAACCCACTCATTGACCCTGCCAACCCCAAACAAGCCCATTATGGTAGCCTTAGCTCGATGAACTGCCATAACATTCTCAAAAAGGATCCAGAATACCACCAAATGAAGTGACCTATATTACATACATACAACAACTCATCATGAACCACATTAGTTATGTGGTTTGCCAAAAACAAGCTGAAAACCAAACCATGGATATAGAGAAAAACCAAACCTTGGTGTTGCAAGAATATTGATAATGGTGATCACAAAAGGAACATAAGTAGTTCCCCATTTCGGAACATCAACTTCCGCAACCAAACATGTTGTTGGCAGAACCAAACAGTAAAATACAAAAGTTCCGACATGGGCAATGACCTTTCTAACAAAGAAGAAACTGTATATTATATAAATCTTCTTCCACGAGTTTACATTCTGTATGTAAAAAGAGTTCATTATATCAAGACAGGCTAGCTAGGGAACGGAATGATGATTGTTAACATCAAGTGTAAGTAAGAAACGGATCCGAGAATGGTCGGGCTGAAGGAACTAACCTTATTTCTCACTACCTCCATGAACATTTTTCTGAAGAGATTAGCGGGTCCACATGACCATCTGTGCTGTTGGTTGCGTAATGCCTTAAATGAACTAGGTAGCTCACTGTTCACCTGTGAAGATGAATTCATGAAACCATGCCGCATAAATGGTTCGTTCTCTAGGTGATTTTTTATCCCTAAGCTCATAGATAAAACATGCATGATTGCATTCCTGTTAGAAAACAGAGGAGGTTGTTGGTGTATGAATATGATAAGTAATTTTAGTGAGGTGTAGTGTAGAAGAGGTTTTTAGAGCAGAGCTCTTGTATCTAGAAAACTTGTATTGTATTGATGTTTCTTGGTTTGCTCAGCAAATGAGTACAAGGAGACTTATTTATAGAAGCTAGAGGATCATTCTAGATCCTTATTAATGTCAGGAATCTAGAGTATTCTACAACTATGTCTAACTACTCTAGATTTTACATAAGAATTCTCTAGAAAATTTTTAGCTATAGTCCTCTAGAACATTTCTAGCCTTTTCTACATAGAAAATTCTAGATAAATGCATCGCTATTTAATAATTCCACACAAATATCGACGACCTACGCTCCACTTTATATATTACCTCTCCAAAACTAAACTGAGAACTTCAGCAAGTAAAGTGACCATCAGCAGGTACCTTGGCCCGAATGCATGGGGACGAACGTCCCCACCCCTGGTGTGAAGCCAAGATTCGAGCAGGGAACAAGAGGCAAATGCGTGGATACGAACGTCCCCGCCCCCTGGTGTGAAGCCAAGATTCCAGCAGGGGATAGGAGCCAAGTGCGTGGGGACAAAGTCCCTACCCCCTGGTGTGAAGCCAAGATTCCAGTTGGGGACATGAGGCAAGTGCATGGGGACGAATGTCCCCACCCCCCTGACGTGAAACCAAGATTTCGACAGGGGATAGGAGGCAAGCGCGTGGGGACGAACGTCCCCGCCCCTTGACGGGAAACCAAGATCTTGGCGGGAAGCGCATTTAATGCAGAAGATTTGGTGGTTGGGATCGAGCCGTCCATAGCCAGCCACGTCAACGCATCCAACTACCATGTGGTAGTATAAATAGAAGCATTTATTTCATTGTAAGGGGTGGCAACGAAGCACCCTAATAGTATAGCATTGTAACTGCTCGTAGCATAGGCTAGGGACGAACGGCCTCAAGCCTTTGTACCGAAATTAATGTACTAAGACTTCTTACTGGGCCTCTGATTGCTTGTTTCTTTGGTCTATTTACTAACCCCTCCACTCGAGACTCCTAGGTTACGTGTTGGGCCTACGGGTTGAAGGAATAATCCTCAACACCCAGCAAACGTAGTATTTTTATTGATGGATGACCCAACCTGGAGTGCCATAAACCACCTGAGTCTGAACTTCCCACTGCATATGCTTGTGCTTGTTCCAGACCCCGGAAAAAATAAACTCCCCCTCGTCGTTCACCCACTCCAATCGGCATCCTCTTAGGTAGGTCCTATATTACACACAAATCATTAGTAAAAAATACATCACATTTCCGGTTATCGATTAACTATGCCAAAGAAATCAAATTGCATTTTAATCCAGGCACCAGCAGAACATTTGTTAAATTCAGGCTTGTACTAAGAGCCACACTCCCCACGTGAGTGGCTTCAGTACGTTCCCCGTTCGGTAACACCAAAACCACACGTGTTATTGGCACCTTCTCCGTCAATGCTTTATTATTCACGGTCATATGATTTGAGGCTCCAAAGTCGAGAAGCCACTCGTTATTAATTTTCATACCAAGAGTTTTTCCCCCGAGGGAGATGCCTTACAGATTTCTATCAATTTGAGGAAAGTCTGCCATTGTTCATCGGTGAATCCCGACTTATTCAGGACCACCTCCTTCGCTCTTTGTGCCAGTGTGCCATTTCCCTGAAACTCTCTCACATGCATGGCATGTGCGGCCCCACGTCCAGATTCTCTGCCCGATCCTCCACGTCCAACCCAGCCGCGACTGGATCCTCCACGTCCTCTTCCACTGCGAGCACGTCCAGGGTTTTCATACCACCACTCCGGGTAGTTGCCAGTGCGTCGAAAGAAATTATCAAAGTCATGACCAAATTTCTGACAGTAGGAGCACTTTGCTCGTTCATCCTTCCCAGCAGTTTGACCGGTGCGTGTAGCAAAAGCTACCGCACCATGTTTTTGTTCTCTTCCCCGTGTCATATTTGGAAGCCTTTCTTCTTGTACAACCATGTTGTATACCTTAGTCAATGACGGTAATTCATCCGCTCCCAGTATGTTTGACCGTAGATTTCCATAGGTCTCGGTATCAAGACTATTAGGAGTTAAATTATTTATTTACTTATTCGGATTATTTACTTTCTCTCTAAATCATTGTATTTTAGGAAGTTTATTTCTTTTAGACTTCTTTCTTATTTTGGTTTAGGGTTAGCCGTGTGTTGAATGTAAAAGCCATGCGGCTATATAAACAGCATGTACGAAGCACTGAAAACATACACAAGATTGATTTTTCCTTCTTCCATATTTTTCTCACTTCTTTACGTGTCTTGCAAAAGTAATATGGTATCAGAGCAATTTTGATCGATCCTTGAGCATGGCGAATGATGATGATGACGGTGCAACATCCGGCGGCACAACGTCGAAGATTGACTATGCTTCGCCGTACTTCTTGGGTCCTCAAGATCGGCCCGGCGACTTTATTACTTCGGTTCGCCTTCCTGGGAACAACTACGATGATTGGTCCAATGTTGTCCGGTTGGCTTTACGTGTGCGACGTAAATATGTGTTCGTTGATGGAACTCTCAAAAAACCGGCGCCGCCTTGCACCGAAGATGATTGGCTTACGATACATTCAATGATTGTGTCGTGGTTGTTGAATGTTATTGCTCCTGATGTCAAAGCAACGTTGGCACGTTATGAAGATGCCGCAAAACTCTGGGCAGATTTAAAAGAACGGTTCTCTTTTGCGGACGGACCACGCATACATCAAACTAAAACCGATTTGTCGAGATGTGTGCAAACTAAAGGCATGCCGGTTGGAACATATTTTGCTAAACTTCAAAGCCTGTGGGATGACTTGAATAATTACGAACCACTTATTGCGTGTACATGTGGCAAGTGTACATGTGATGTAATGGGACAACATGAAAAACGAAGAGAATCGGAACGATTTCATCAATTTTTGATGGGATTGTACACCGATTTCTTTGGCCCTACCCGCTCGCAGCTCTTGACTCAAACACCCCTGCCTAGTTTGAATCGTGTCTATCAACAAACTATGCAAGAAGAACGAGTGCGTGGCTTTGTTCAGACGCAAGAAGAAAGACCTGATGTTATGGGTTTTGCCTTGTGGACAGATGGCAAGGGATTTGGACAAGGAGGGAAGACAGACAAATCCGGGTTAATTTGCGCATATTGCAAATACTCCGGTCATGAAATTTCTAATTGTTTTGAACTTAACGGTTACCCGGACTGGTGGGGAGACAGACCAAAACCGGGTATCAAGGGAGGAGGGCGCGGCAAGTCTTCAAGATCTGGAACGGGGCGTGGAAAAGCTCCTGTGAAAGCACATGCAGCGGTGGCTGATTCAGCAGCCGAGAACAAAGCTCCGCCAGTTGGTGAGGGAAGCAACAACCAATTGATCTCACTGCCTGGTTTCACACCTGAGCAATGGAAATCCTTGTTGACCGTTTACGGTAACCCTACAGTTCTACTGATCGCGTGGCAGGTAAATTTGATCATAATGCCTGGATTATTGATACAGGGGCAACAAACCATGTTTGCGGAAATTTGGCCATTTTTTCTCAAATTAAATCAGTTGAGCCTTGCTTAGTTGGTCTGCCGAATGGGCAGACAGTTGAAGCTACGCAGGAAGGCCGAGTAGAACTGTTTGAAGATTTTTATTTGAATAATGTTCTATATGTCCCTGCATTAAAATGCAATCTTATCTCGGTATCTCAATTAAGTGATCAGTTAAATTGTTTTGTTCAATTTGCTAGTAACTTATGCGTTATACAGGACCGTCACTCGAAGAGGCTGATTGGAATGGGTGAGCGGCGGAATGGACTGTACTATCTTCCGGAGGAACCCTCAGCGAGGATCTTGGCAGTTAGGGACTCAAAGGAATCTGAAGTTAATTTGTGGCATCAACGATTGGGGCATCCTTCTTCAAAAGTTATTGAACACTTGGCTCCTGTAAATGGTCTGAAGGGTGCTGGCAGTTTACCTTGTGATATTTGTTTTAGGGCAAAGCAAACACGAGATTCGTTTCCTATTAGTTTAAATAAAACTCATGTTATTTTTGAATTAGTACATTGTGATTTGTGGGGTCCTTATCATACCCCTTCTTCGTGTGGTGCTCGACACTTCTTGGCTATTGTGGATGATTACTCCCGTGCAGTATGGGTTTATTTATTAGTTGACAAAAAGGAGGTGTTAAAAATGTTTCTTTCTTTCGTTGCTATGGTTGATCGTCAATTTTCTAAGAAAATCATTACTGTGCGTAGTTATAATGGCACTGAATTTAATTGCCTGAAGGATTTTTTCAGAAGCAGTGGTATAATTTTTCAGACGTCTTGTGTTAGCACGCCTCAACAAAACGGGCGTGTTGAACGCAAACACAGGCATATTTTAAAATGTGGCACGTGCCCTGAGATTTCAAGGGCACTTGCCAATTTCTTTTTGGGGAGAATGTGTTCTAGCGGCGTCACACCTTATTAACCGCACCCCCTCGGCTATTCTTGAGTATAAAACTCCTTATGAGATTTTGTTTGGTGTGCCACCTTGCTATAAATCTCTTCGGGTATTTGGTTGTCTGTGCTACGCGTTCAATTTAAAATCAAAAGGAGATAAATTTGCTAATCGGAGCCGAAAGTGTATTTTTTTGGGTTATCCATTTGGCAAGAAACATTTGACTTACTTGGCAGCACTTGATTCGGCTACCGAACCAACTTCTTTTAATGATGCGGTGAAGCATGATGGATGGCGCCAAGCCATGCGTTCCGAAATTCAGGCTCTTGAAAAAAATACCACTTGGAGTCTTGTGCCGTTGCCTCCTGGGAAACGTGCATTAGGGTGTCAATGGGTTTATAAAGTTAAACATAAATCTGATGGCACCGTTGAGCGCCTTAAGGCATGATTGGTCATTTTTGGGAACCGACAGGTTGCTGGACTGGATTATACAGAGACATTTACTCCTGTTGCCAAAATGGTAACAGTACGGGCATTCCTTGCAATTGCCGCCTGTAAAAATTGGGAATTGCATCAAATGGATATTCATAATGCATTCTTGCATGGTGACCTCCAAGAAGAAGTGTATATGAAGATCCCTCCCGGCTATACCACCGCAGATCAATCTTTGGTGTGTCGTCTTCATAAATCCCTCTACGGACTTAAGCAAGCTCCACGATGTTGGTTCGCCAAATTAGTAGCTGCCCTCAAAGGCTATGGTTTTCTCCAGTCTTATGCTGATTATTCTTTATTTACCCTAACACGTGGCAAACTCCAACTTAATGTGTTAGTTTACGTGGATGATCTTTTAATTTCTGGAAATGATGTTGATGCTATTGCTAATTTTAAACAATACCTTAATACGTTCTTTCATATGAAAGATTTGGGTACTCTTAAATATTTTCTTGGCATTGAGGTAGCGCGCAGCTCGTCTGGTATTTTTCTTAATCAGCGCAAATATGCACTTGATATTATTTCTGAAACTGGTCTTCTGGGCGCCAAGCCGGCTACTTTTCCTATAGAGCAGAATCGTGCTCTCGGTAATGCTTCTGGTTCATATCATTCGGATCCTGAGCAGTATAGACGTCTTATTGGTCGGCTCATTTATTTAGTTGTTACTCGTCCTGATCTTACATACTCGGTTCACATCCTGTCTCAATTCATGCAACAACCTCGGGCTGAACATTGGGCAGCAGCTCTGCGTGTTGTTCGCTACTTAAAGGGCTCCCCTGGTCAAGGCATCTTACTTCGAGCTGACAGTAATCTTTCTCTTACCGGTTGGTGTGATTCAGACTGGGCGGCTTGCCCACTTACACGGAGGTCTATATCTGGGTGGCTGGTTTTTCTGGGTCATTCCCCTATCTCGTGGAAATCTAAAATCAGACTACTGTGGCCCAATCTTCTGCGGAGGCTGAATACCGCTCTATGGCAGCTGCAATCTGTGAACTTAAGTGGCTAAAAGCTCTTCTTTTGAGTCTCGGTGTTCAACATCCAAAGGCCATTCCTCTCTACTGTGATAGTCAATCTGCCCTGCATATTGCTAATAATCCTGTTTTCCATGAACGCACTAAGCACATTGAAGTTGACCGCCACTTCATTCGTGATGCTATTCGTGACAACCTAATTGCTCCCAGTTATGTTCCCACTACTGTCCAATTAGCCGATATCTTTACCAAAGCGCTTGGTAAAACCCAGTTTGAGACACTATTGAGCAAGTTGGGCATTCTGGATCCCCATACGCCAACTTGAGGGGGGGTATTAGGAGTTAATTTATTTATTTACTTATTCGGATTATTTACTTTCTCTCTAAATCATTGTATTTTAGGAAGTTTATTTCTTTTAGACTTCTTTCTTATTTTGGTTTAGGGTTAGCCGTGTGTTGAATGTAAAAGCCATGCGGCTATATAAACAGCATGTACGAAGCACTGAAAACATACACAAGATTGATTTTTCCTTCTTCCATATTTTTCTCACTTCTTTACGTGTCTTGCAAAAGTAATAAAGACCCATCAAGAAATCATGAGTTTTATCATTTTCAACATGTTTGATGAATAATTTTTGAGATCACAAGTGCAACCGTTGCAAATGCACTGAGGCATATTTCAAACTCCGTCGTAGTCATCCCAAAGTGCTTTGAGTCGCCCAAAATAGGTGGTTATCGGTTGCCCTTGTTGACGGCAATTCCGAATCAACTCCTTTAATTCGTGAGTTTTCATGGCGTCTCCAGAGAAACGCGCCTCCATGTCGTTCCATAGATCACATACGCTGTCCATATAGGCCAGATTAGATCGGATAGCCGGATCCGCCGAAGTAATTATCCATCCCACCGCCATGGAGTTGACAGTGTGCCAATCTTCGAGGTCTCTCTCATTGTTCACGAGTCATTTAATGGTTCCATCTAGAAACCCCAATTTCCGTTTTGCACGGAACGCATTCTTCATCGCCGTGGCCCATTCTCGATAGTTACTCTCACCCTTGAGAACAACCACACACAGATGTGTAGTATGGTGAAACCATATGGGAAAGATTTTCTACATCTTGCTGTGTCAATCCCTCGTAGGATGCACGCCATATATACATGTTATACGCATGGCTAGTTTACAACGTAAGAGTACTGCCATGCGTGATCTAAGGGGAAAATAATAAATGAGAATAACAGTCCTAATCGAATTTGTACACTACGTACATAAAATGTTACATAATAAAATCTGTACAAATAATAACGGCTAACAACATGCGTGGATGAGTGATTTGTTTGAGATTACTTCCGGAGTCCCATAAAATTTAGCGACGCGAAGTAATAAAGTAAAAATCGTGTGCTTGAGATTTGTTTAGAGTACGAAATTACGTCAATCACATACTAGTTACTTAAAATAGAAATAACAAGTTTATTTAGACGGTGAAAAAAGAAAATTTGATTAAGTTTTATGGAGCGGAGGTGTATTACTTATTATTATTATTATTTTATTATTATTATTATTATTATTATTATTAGGGAGAACTATCAAATAAGCCCATTTGGGGCGGTTTTCGGTGGAATTTTTTGATGCAATTTTTTAAGTATCTTCTTCATTGAGTCTAGTTTATTCATACCAAATTTCAGCTAAAATTTCAATCAAGAACGCAGTCAAATGAATTTTTGAAGATAACACCGCAATATATTTCAGAAAATCATTTGACTGCCTTCTCGATTGAATTTTTAGCTGAAATTTGGTATGGGTAAACTAGACTTAATGAAGAAGATGCTCAAAAAATTTTATCAAAAAATTCCACCGGAAACCGCCCCAAATGGCGACAGACGGACAAAGCCTCCTGTAAAAGGGCTTATTTGCACTTTTTATGAAAGTTCGAGGGCTTATTTGATAGTTATTCCTGATTATTACTAGTATTATTTTGAACTCCGGAGACATATGCTGATACCTTAGTTTACGAGTGAGGCTTGAATTGACGTAGATGTAGATAGAATCCCTGGATGAATGGAAACCATAACAAATAGTACATCCAATTGGTTTATTTATTTACCTTGAGAGAACTGAGGTATAAAAACTTCCACCCCTTGAGGCTAGCCCGGACAGCCAAGTCCATATCCTCAACAGTGGTCCGATGATTCCACCCACCTGCATCCTCAATCGAAGCAATTCTCCAAACACCTGCTGTTCCTGCATTTGAACATCAAACTAGTGAGGACACGTTTGTTCTAAACGGAATGAGGTGAAGAGAGAAGCACCTAAAAACTTAAACCATATTGTAGGTAATATGCCTTGGCCAAACTAAAAGCGAGAAGAGAGAAGGGTATTTAATATTCAAGGACAAGGGTAAATACATTAGTGAGAGAGGAGAGCAGTAAGTAAGTACCATTGAAGGAGAAAAAAGCGTAGGTGGAAGAGCCAACTTCTTGCTCCACACTGAAATGGAAATTCAAAGAAATCTCTTGAGTTCTGGTCATAAAGCATTCGTCAGCATTCACTGCAAATTCACCAACCGTACCCATCATCACTCAACTTTTATATCATCTGGCCGGCAACCTTAGCTTAAAATAATGACATACCAAATTTCCATCGTGCTTGAACGAGGGCGAGGTCGGGATTATGGACTAGGTAAGGGATGGCGCGGCGAAGGAAATCAGGATCAGGTTGAAAGTCGGCGTCGAAAATAACAACATATTCGCATTCCTTCACATAAGAATGCCTCATCCCTTCACTCAATGCCCCTGCTTTGTACCCATTTCTGTTGTCTCTGATCTCATACTTTATATCCATTCCCCTCCTTGCCCACCTTTCACACTCCATTTCCACCATTTCCTTATCATTTCATATTTTCAAGCTACACTCAGCGTACAACAAACATTTACCATTTTTTGTTTTACTACTACTACTACTACCTTAATGCTTGGGTCCGTTGAATCATCAAGGACTTGAACTATGAATCGCTCACAAGGCCAAGAAAGCTCACATACCGCTCCAATTGACTGCTTATACACCTTCACATATAAATATATAGTTACATTAAAACAAAAAACGAAAACGCTCCCATTCAAATCATAGTGTCGTTGAGTCAAACTCCCATTACATGTTGCTGATGGGTTAAAGAGAAGCAGATGGTTTATACTTTATACTCCTCTCTTCCTTTAAAACTTTGTCATCATTGAATTGTTTCATCAATCAAAATCAAAGTAAAATTTAATGAATGATAAATTTTTATAGGAAATTATTTATACTATAAAAATGATATGGAAATGTTCTTTATTCAAAATACTTTCACATAAAAGCATAATAAAATTGATAACTTTGATAATATTATACTAATCAAAATCATTCACCAAATTTACCACCATTAACTTAACAAATTAAAGATGACAATGTTTGAGCTACTAAAACTTTGAGTTAACTTACCTACTTGGTTAAATAAAGCTTCTCATTAGTCATTACATCATACGTTGGTAAATATGTGGGTATTCATGGGGTATCATTGGGTTTTCATAATTATGTCGTACCACTACGGACGGATGTAGGTATAGAGGTAGGGGGTCTTCGCTCCCGAACTGAACTTTTAATTTTTTACTACTACTATTATTGGTTACTCCCTCCGTCCCAATTTGTTTTGCAAAATTTCCTATTATGGTTATCCCAAAATGTTTTTCCACTTTCCTTTTTAAGTATAGAAATATCAATAAAGTGACAGTTTTGCCCTTATTCATTACCCTTCTAATTTCCACCCACCTGCACAAACATCCACCCAATTTACGGATGCTTTACCCACGCATGACCCACCTCTTATCTATTTCACATGCCTTCTTTCTTTCCCTCATATTCAATTTCAATGCTACAGCCCCCATCTTTGTAAATGGAGTCTCACACGTTCACACCTTTTCCCTAGGTTGATTATTTAGTTTTGTTTATGACTAACCTTAAACAGAAATGAACACTATCCTTCGGTCCAAAACAATAATTCATTATTTAACAAACCATGCAGGTGGGATCTTTGGATAGAACTACTACCGGTTCTATCAGGAACGAACTTTGTTCTGTTTGATATAAATAATTGTCATGCTTGATAAGTGATTTAATTGATATATGGCTGCCTGACAATACCTCATCTATGAAGCTAAATTATTTTACACGTGGCACATCTCTCATACATGACTAAGCATTTACTTTAATGACTTAACCTATATATGTGTCACCTAAATAAATAATAGAGTAGATTTTATATTTATTTATTGTTGAGGACTCTTATTGTAATTATGACATTTATTCTCTTTATATATATCTGCTAGAGCTACCATTATGGCTAAGTCTGGTAATTATTCTCACATGGTATCAGAGCTCTAGGTTTCTACCCTAAATTTCCCGTCTCCAATATGTCTTCGGCCGACTCTTCTGCAGCATCAAACAACACCTCCGTCGCTGCTTCTTTCGTCTCCAGCAGTACGACCACCGGCAGCATCTTCACCTACACTGCGCCAATCTTTTCTTCGTCGTCTGCTGTGTTGGCTACCAGTGCATCAAGCTCTTCGGTGTTCGGCGCTCCTCTCGGTTTTTCGAGGCCGGATTCGAGCGCAGGTCCTTCCTTGCTGCCGCCTCACCTGTTTCCGACGACCGACGAAGCACCATGGGTACCGCCGGTCTTCACCTGGTCTCCCACCCGGCCGGAATTACAACCCACCCCTGCTCCTCTGTTCTTCCAGTCGGCCGGCTCGCCTGCTATTCCCTCTGGTTCCAGCTTTGCGGGTCCCACCTTCGCCGGAGCTCCTGGAATTACACCATTGACACCTTCTGCTTCGATTGGACCGATTGCACCTCGGTCTAGTGCCCTGCCTACTTAAGGTTCTATTTTGTCTGAATTAGTCAAAAATATTGGTTTCTCGGCACTTAATATTACGAATATTGTTACTACGAAACTTTCTGTTGTTGAGGATTACTTGACTTGGCGTACTCAATTTGAGTCGGTCTTGGTGTCCAATGGATTTTAGGGAATTTTAGATGGTTCCATTCCCGCTCCCGCTCCCTATATTTTTTATGCTTATCATCATGAGGTTGTTAATCCAGATTGTTGTACTTGGCTAAAATTGGATCAAACTGTGCGTTCTTGGTTGTTTGTCACCTTGTCTCGTGTTGTGTTAATTGAAGTTCGTGAATTAAAAAATGCCTTTGCTATCTGGACTCGTTTGGAGTCTCATTTTATGTCTGCTAGCCTTGCTTGTTCCATGGAACTGAAACGACAACTCACACATTCTAAGAAGCGCTCTAATCAGTCTATGGAACATTATCTTCGTGACATTAAGGACATTGCTGACCGTCTGGCTGCTATCAATGCTCCGGTGTCTCGTAGAGAGTTATTTCAGCATATTTTGCTTGGTCTTGATAGAGACTATGAGTCTCTTATCACATCCGTGGATCTCTTTCCGGATAGTTTTACCTTTGAAAACCTTCGAACCAAACTAGTTGAGAAGGAGCGCAACTTGCAGTATATGAATGCTCAAGAGGAATTAAATCCAGCACAAGCTTTTGTGGGTCAGGCTCAATCGGAGGGACAGCCACCACATGGTGGGCAGCAGCCACAACAGGGCGGACAGCACCATCCCGCGGCTGGCCAGCAGCAGCACCAGGCCGGTGGACAGGCTCGTGGCAGGGGAAATCGCGGACGTGGTGGCCGCGGTCAGCGTGGTCGCGGTGGTCGCGGTCAGCGTGGTCACGGTGGTTATGGTTATCCTCCACAGTTTGGTTATGGTTATCCTCCACCAGGTTATTTTCCAGGGGGTGCACCGCATGCTAGCATTCTTGGGGCTCCAGGTTCAGCGGGTATGTCTGTTCAGTCAAATTTTTTTACTTATGCCTTATCTACTTTCTCTACTAACAGTGGTTATGCAGGCTCCTCTTCAGCTGAGGGAAATTCAGTCCCTCCTCCGGTTATTTGTCAAATTTGTTATGCCCCAGGTCATCCCGCTTCCACTTGTCCCTCTCGATTTGTTCAACCGGCTGCACCTGCTCTTGCTGCTCAGGCCCCTGATGCTTCTGAGATGGTTTGGTATCCTGATTCAGGTGTCTCTGCGCATATGACTCCTCATTCAGGTATCTTAACGCATAAATCCTTTTCTCCTAATTCTCGTTCTATTATTGTAGCAAATGGAAATACTCTCCCGGTTATGAAATCTGGTCAAGTTGTCTTAACTTCGTCTGCCAAACCTCTTCACTTGAAATCTGTTTTGCATGTGCCCAACATTAAATACAATCTTTTATCTATCCAAAAATTGTGTGCTGATAACAACTTGCTGTGATTTTTGATAAAAATAATTTTTTTTGTAAAGGATTTAACAACGGGGGAGGTCCTTCTTCAGCTCTCAGTGATAACGGCGTTTATCCCATTCGTCCACCTACATCGCCACCTGTTACCTTAGCCGCGGGATCTCTTTCTCTTTGGCATAATAGATTAGGACACTGTGGGTCTCATGTTTTAGATCAGCTTCGACTGAATAATTTTATTTCTGGCACTTCTGCTAATATTTCTGATTGTATTCCTTGCCGTTTGGGCAAGTCGCAACGGTTACCCTTTAATACAGTTTTTCACAATAGTTCTTGTGCCTTATATTTAATTCATTCCGATGTATGGCAATCTCCCGTGTTATCTCATTTAGGATTTAAATATTATGTCTGTTTTATAGATGATTTTTCTCGTTTTACTTGGGTTTATCCTATGCGGAGTAAGTCTGAGGTTACTACTCATTTTCAACATTTTAAATTAATGATTGAAAATTTACTTGACCGCAAAATCAAGATCTTTCAGAGTGATGGAGGGGGTGAGTTTGACAATTTTAATTTGCGATTTTTTTTAAAAGCTAATGACATTATTTTTCAAAAATCATGTCCTGAAACTCCTCAACAAAATGGTGTTGCTGAGCGTAAGCATCGACATTTACTTGAATTAGCTCGCACTATGCTTATTGCTGCTAGCTTGTCTGCTAATTTTTGGGTGGATGCCGTGCTTACTGCTACTTTTATCATTAATCGAATACCCTCTCCTACTCTACATGGTTTGTCTCCTTTTGAAAAACTTTTCAATAGGAAACCTGATATGTCTGTTTTTCGTGTTTTTGGATGTGCATGTTTTCCTAAATTTACTGCCTCTTCTGCAAATAAGTTGGATCCGAGATCTGTTCAATGCATTTTCTTGGGATATGCTCCTGAATATAAAGGGTACCGTTGTTTTGATCCCGTGGCTAGTCGTGTGTACATTAGCAGAAATGTCCGATTTTTGGAAAATATTTTTCCAAATTCTGTCCTTGCCGGTCCCACAGTGTCCTCTTCTTCTGCATCTTCTCCTACTTCCTTAATCTTTTCCCCCAGCCGTGACCAGCCCTCATCTATTTTCCTTTCCCAAACCTTGACTATCCATGCACTGCCTGCTCCCTCTGACCCTTCGCCCCCTACTCCCAGCACCCCGCAGGAACAAAGCAGCCCTGCTGCTTTTGTCCCAGATCACAGCCCGCCCTATGACAGCCCCTCCACAGCCTGTCAGTCCCCTCCACCCATGCCCCATCTTCGGTTGCGCCTACTACCACGGTTCCTCAAAGTTCTCCCGTTGTAAATCTTCATCCAATGCAAACCCGCTCCAAACCCGGGATTTTTAAACCCAAAACCATTTTTAATTTAAGCACAGTTGTTCACACACCTGATCCCACTTGTTTTTCTGTTGCAAATAAACATTTTAAGTGGAGAGCTGCTATGGCAAAAGAATTTAATGCTCTTATCTCTAATCATACTTGGGATTTAGTTCCATTTGATGCTAATAAGAATGTGGTTGGGTCTAAATGGATTTATAAGACTAAGTATCTGGCTGATGGGTCTGTTGATCGCTATAAGGCTCGCTTGGTTGCACAGGGGTTTAATTAGCAGGCAGGTATTGATTTTACTAAGACTTTTAGCCCTGTTGTTAAACCCACTACTGTTCGTCTTGTTCTTACCTTAGCAGTATCGTTTGGTTGGCCCATCCGTCAACTAGACGTCAAAAATGCTTTTCTTCATGGTCACCTTACGGAGGAGGTATATATGCGTTAGCCACCAGGTTTGGTTCATCCCCAATTTCCTCATCACTTGTGTCGTCTTCGTAAAGCTATTTATGGTCTTAAACAGGCACCATGTGCTTGGTTTCATCGCTTTAGTAGCTTTCTTCTTTCTCATGGGTTTGCATGCAGCCGGTCAGATAATTCTCTTTTTATTTTTCAACGTCAGTCTGATATTATTTATCTTCTGTTATATGTTGATGATATTATAGTCACAGGCAATTCCCCGAAACTCGTTTCTCATTTTTTATCCCTTCTTGCTAAATGTTTTGCCATGAAGGATTTGGGGGATTTGCATTTTTTTCTAGGTATTCATGCGACTCGGACTTCGTCTGGTTTATTTCTTTCCCAGCATAAGTACATATCTGATCTACTTCTTCGTTTTCACTTCCATACCTTAAAACCTGTTTGCTCTCTCTTCCGAGTCGCACCAAACTTTCTCTCACTGATGGGGAGCTTCTTACAGATGCCACGGAGTACAGGAGTAAGGTAGGTGCCTTACAGTATTTAACTTTGACTAGGCCAGATATTACTTTTGTTGTACACTTGGTTTCTCAATTTATGCATGCCCCACGTACTTCACATATGTTGGCCGTTAAGCGCATTTTCAGGTATCTACAGGGCACCTCCACGCATGGACTTTTTCTACAGGCCTCTCGTGTTCGCCCAACTCTTATTGGTTATTCGGACGTTGTTTGGGCTGGCTACCCTGATACTGGTCATTCTACTTCAGGCTATGCTATTTTTCTAGGACCTAATCTCATTTCCTGGCGTTCCAAGAAGCAGCCTACTGTTTCCAGATCTTCATGTTCACTCAGTGTTATTTGAGTTGGGATTCCCCATTCACGACCCTACTATGCTTTACTGTGATAATATTTCTGCATCATATCTTTCAGTTAATCCGATTCATCATGCGCGCAGTAAACATATTAATATAGACTATCATTTTGTTCGTGAACGGGTGGCTCATGGAGATCTGCGTGTGAAATATGTTCCTACTCAGGCTCAGCTGGCAGATATTTTTACTAAGTGTTTGTCTCCCCAACGATTTTTTCTTCTTCGTGACAATCTGCGCATTGTTCCTCCTGCACAGATTGAGGAGGTGTAATAGAGTAGGTTTTATATTTATTTATTGTTGGGGACTCTTATTGTAATTATGACATTTATTCTCTTTATATATATCTGTCAGGGCTACCATTATGACTAAGCCTGGTAATTATTCTCACAATAAATACTTTGCCACTTTAATGGTAAATGACCGTAACATTTTTATATATGCAAAGAGAACAAGTTATCTTTCCATAAAGGTCAACCGAAATCTCTTTTGGTAAGAATATTATCGTAGCATAACTTAACTACATGAATATCTTATTGCTACTTAATATCCTTTGCATATTTACATGATAAGTGAATCTGTGCTTCTTTACATAATGGTGCGTAAATCATGAGTTGATTTACTCTTGCCTGAACAAATAAAAGAGAAACTACTGGAAAGAAAGTAATTCAAAAATATCAAGGAAAGTCTACCAAGCTTCTAAAGGAAAGGAGAATCAACGGACATCTTCCGTGCTATATATATAGTCGAAGATTAAAAGAAGAATGTGTGTTTGAGGGTGTAATCAAAAGGAGAAAGACTTACGAAGAGTTATCAAGTCCAAGGCACCTGAACCTACGCACAAAGTTCTAGATAGAGTTTCTTTTCCCTTCTTTATCATGTAACTTGATTTTCGAGGAAAAGCTAAGTGTAGCTTCTTCGATTTGGGATCGTGTGTGTGAGAGCTTTGTTGTAAAGCTGAGAGGCTCTCTACCAGTAAGGTAGAGATGCATAACTCTTCCTAGAGAGGATAGAGTTGGGGTGCCTCAAGGGTAGATTAGGAGAATTTACCTTCTAACCACATTTTGGCTATTTAGTGAAATTGTTCAAATTCCTCCAAGGGAGGTCGAGGTTTTTTAATCCCTATCAGCCAAGGGATTTTTCCTCGTTAAATTCGTGTGTATTTATTGTTTCGCACTTCCCTACACCCACACTAGAACTGTGCAAGAAACTGCCACAGTTCCACAGAAACACAATTCACCCCCTCCTCTTGTGTTACTAACCGTTTCATCACTAGCTAATCAAATTTCTTTCCCCGTTGAAAGAAGAGGCCCCCTCTTGGTCCATCAACTCCAGGTCAACCCTGCAGTTCACCATCTGAAAATCTCCAGGTCCAACGCGCCTCTATGGCATAGTTCATCACAGATGATCCGCCGCCAACCGCTGCCCTTAATAAACTCCTTTGAATTAATTAATGCCTCGCAGATCGAACCTTGAAGTGGCTGACAGCGGCTTGTCCATTGTAGGCTTGAGTAGCTGTCCGAGATGGTAGAGAGGCCGCTGCTGAGTGCCGGACATCGGCTAGAAGAGAATGAGGGGGTCTGGCTATTGCCCCTATTATCTTGGGTCAGAGAAGGCCTGAGCAACTTTGTGTTGGTAATCAACCAAATGACCAATCGTTGATGAAGAAGGAAAAAGGAATGGGTGGTAACTATATTGTCAGACAGATAATGTATTTTAATTTTTGCATTTGTTTATTTGTTTTGATAAAGGGGCAAAATGGTAAAGTAAATGTCTATCTTTCCATTTTCTTAATCCCCGTGCCGGTCAACTTTTGCAATTAAATTCGGGATATAGGAAGTATATAATAATAATAATAATAATAATAATAATAATAAAAATAATAATAATAATAATAATAATAATAAAATAAACAACAGCAACAACAACAATAATAATAATAATAATAGTAATAGTAATAATAATAATAATTGGGTCAACACTACCTGATAGAAGCATCTATTTGAGATGCTTTTGGGTAGAATTTTGTGATGAAATTTTGTATCCATGTTTTTCATGAAGTGTAAATAAAGCACACCAAATTTCAGCTTAAAATGCAATCGTTAAGTCAACTAAATAAATTGTGGAAAAACATTTGTGTTTTTATATGTATTTTTTCTGTTCGGTTGTATTTTGAGAAGAAATGCCTTCTTTTGAGAGGTTTTGGTGTTGTCTCCTCTCTTTTTGTATGATTTTCTTTATTCTTAATAAAATCTTTTTGGCATGATGTTTTCAATAGTTTATTTAATTGACTTCCCGATTGACTCTTAAACTAACATTTGGTGTAAATAATCTACATATCCTGAAAAACATTCTCAAAAAAATCAACCCGGAAACACCTCAAACATGGGCGGTCAGACGGCGGTTCCTATCGGGTAGTTTTGACAAGATCATTCATCATGAAATAATTTCATATATATGATCAAAATATGAAAAACTATGTTTTATTCCTCAAATGGATCTTACTTAGTCCTATTAAAAATAATTTGATTGAAGTTTGCCAAAACAGGAGTAAATAAGTCATATTTTTTGAATAAAACAACGATAATACAATTTACGAACTTTCTTTTTGTTTTAATCTTATTTAGTGAATTTTCTCTTTATTGTTTGTGTTCCTTCTTGAACCCACTACGACTAAATCTTGGCTCCACCCCTGTATACAGGGGCTGATATGGTACAAATTGTGCTTATTGACATACGTTTGTACGATGCATATTTACGTTATTAGTATTGCATATTGAGGTTCAAAGTGTTGAATATTATTGTGCATTGGAATACCGGTTGCATATTAATGTTCAAAAAGTTGCATCTGGGAAAAGTTTGATTTTATTATAGGCTGCCACCGTGCAATTTGTAGGTTGTAGTTTGTAAATTAAGAGGTGTTTGTACTTAATCACTTATATATATAGGGGCGGATAATAGTAAGGTGTGTAGGATCGGCTCTGGCCTAGTTTTTTTATTTACACGTACAGGTTTATTAAAAAAAATAGTGTTCAGCCCGGTCCAGAAAAAAATTAAAACCCAATTAAGTGAAAATCATAAAGATTAATATAAAATTTAATTCATAAATTTAGTCTTTGTAATTATCAATACATCAGAATGTAATATACAATTGAAGATTAGAGAATAATTTTATAATGCAGTTTGACTTGGTAGATTTTCGGTGTTGGCTTAGAACGCTCGATAAGCTCGATTAATGTGCTCGAATGTATAAGTTTCGAATATATATGCTTGTTAATATATTCATGTTCAAATTATTCAAGGATTATTCAAAACTTTAATAATCATTAACAAATTATAAAATCACATTCAAAAAACGTTTAAATTTTAAAATATATATTACTTACTCCTATAATTTATAAGTGATCGATAGACTCGGGTTCGAATCGAACTGAACATCAATATGCTCGCACACAACTTGACTAACTATTCTAACTCAATTTTAGCTCGTGTTGGAGTTTGAAGCTCATTAAGCTCAGGTTGCTAATTAGATTCAAAAATCAAGCTCAAACATGAGTAGTTCGAAAAAAGTTTCATTCGATAACATTTCTAAGCTAAACTCTATATGTGTAGTGATAATTTTTTTGCTGATTAGCCCACACCTCTCGTTTCTGGATCTGCCTCTCTCTCTCTCTATATATATATATATATATATATATATATATACAAAAGCAATACCAAGCCTTAACCTTAGTCGGTTAACATGAATCAATATATGACATTGAAGTTAATAACGATATTCACATTTCGATTCTTTTCAAGTGATGTAACTACGTTATATTGTTAGTTGTCACGCTGCTACCTCAACACTACCTCTTTTATCCTAGCTTTGGACATATATAATACTAAAAGTGATTCCATGGAGAAATTATATACTACCTCCGTCCCAAAAAGATTGACAAATTTGACTTTTTTTGTCAATGATATTAAAGTGAAATATTCACTTTACAGCGCTACAGTACACTTTTCAGTTTAGTTAGTGCACATTTCTGCGATTGTAAAAAAGTTCGTTCATTTACAAAATCTTCACCGAGTTTTTTTTAAAAAAGTGCATTTTTTACAATTTCTTAAAGTGCATATCTTACCATACAAGCGCAACAGAGATTATTATAAGTGCATTTCACACTTTTCACATGTTAGGAACGTTCTTTATTTGATCAACCCTATATAAATAAGGTGTGGATCAAATAAAAAGGATCTTAACGTGTAAAATGTGAAATAATTATTTTTACAACGCTATGGTTCACATTTCACTTCAGGTAGTGATGTAGTGCACATTTTCGTAGAGAGAGGAGTGGTGAAGGAGAAACTCCAGCCTCATCTTCTTCTTTTCTTCACTTCTTTCTATTTTCTTTTGATTCCAATCACGAAAACGGTTTCGTTTGATCAGTATTTTCAGTTCTACCTTTACATTTATTTCCTAGCATTGTTTAGAGATGTTATTTTCAGTGGCGAAGTGTCGCTCGTCAGATGTATATTCTCCGTCATCATCGGTCAGTTGTTCTTGTGTTCTAGACAAAGGTATGTATTGACTCCTTTGTCAATCATGAATCGAGATTTCTTTTGTATTAATATAGAGGTCGATCGTCCTCCTCTTGAACCACCGTCGATCCATGAAGATGGGATTGAATAGATTGCTTCCTTTCCGGTGGCTAGTGAAACCGGAACAATTTCAGCACTTGGCTCTTTACCGGTGGCTGGAAAAACCGGCAAGTTTAATAATTCCTTTTCGGTGGCTGGTCAAACCGGATCCATTTCAAGTAGCATGAGAAGTCACACTGCAGTACGAGTCTACATTGTTGCAGGGTTAGCGAACAGGAGTTCCTTTATATGTCTTTTTTGTTCGTCGTCTCATTCTAGTGTAGCATTGAGCTCTATGAATGTAATGTTTCGACTTTTGATTGTTATGTGTTTTGGTACCTTTATCAATAATAATTAAGTTATTTTCTTTCGGAAAAAGAAGTTTAATTATTTACAAATTGTCACCGCGTTTTTTAAGGAAAATTTCAGAGTTAACGGGTTAGCATTTCAAAAAAAGAAATTATATTAAATGGGACTAAAACATGGTTAAAACTCCAAATAAGGACTTCAAGTTTTAAATTGCCTAAATGGGACTCCACATTACATTTTTGCCCTTCTGCTATTAAAACCCATCTCTCGCCTCCTTCTGCAATTCGTCACTGGCCACGCACATCGGCAGCACATAGATGGCCCCTTTCTGCAATCTACGATAAATTCATCGTAGCAGCAGCTCCGCACATCCCTTGACAGCAACTCCTCCATCGGCTATGGATGCACCGCAACTCCACCGTCGACCACAGGTATCCTTCTTCTTCCTCTTCTTCTTCCTCTTCTTCTTCTTCTTCTTCTGCTTCTTCTGCTTTTTCTTCTTCTTCTTTTGTATATGAACTTCCCATCCTCTTCAAATTTGGGTCCTCTGTTTTCTTCTT